CGGGATCGTTTAATTGCCAACTCTAACAACTAGAAAACAAATACTGGCTGTTAAATGAGTGTAGTTTTCGTATTTATTTTCCGCTGTGGCCGCTCAAATATTCTTTCTCTAATAAAAATGGCCTTTACGTAGCAAATTGCAATCGCTTGTGTTTGTGGATTTAGTTGAGGTTAAAAGTGGTCAGTAAGTGAGTGAGAAACAAGAAAATCAAAAGCACTTGTGTTCGCAAAAGGCAAACGTATTGCTTAGGGTGAAAAAGCATTCAACAGTTATCCATAGATTGATTTGAATCGTTATCAGTGAATGCAATATACTCCTGCAATGTTATGAAGATTTAATGAATGGAAGGTTTTTTCTTTTTTGTACGTGTGGGATATTTTTGTTTTTAATTGTATCTTATAAATGAGAGAATGGTATGTCTTCTCTTAACCAAACTGAATAACTGAATAATTCTCTTAGTTAAGAGAATTTTCAAAAGCATATAAAGTTTTGCAGGATTTTTTGACTAGTCAGTGTAACGGTTTAATGGTGCTGCTGTCAGTTGCCCTTTTAAATGGGAAGGAAACAGATCAACTTTGTCCGCGACGCAATATGGTACGGATGATACGGAACGATTAAGTGTGAATTCCTTACAATATATATAAAAATCAACTGTAATCAGGATTAAAAAAAAAATTTCTTAAAAGTAAAATCATAAAAAAAAAATGAACCGCAATAAGAGCGACTAGGGCAGAGTTTAATCGACGGCATTTAACATAATAATATAAAAAAGAAAACAAACAAAAAAATAAATAAAAAATAAAAAAAACAAACGAAAAACATCGAACAAGTAAAAACTCGGTTTGTTTTAATTCACGGTAATATAATACGTGTGGTGTCTGTCGTCTGTCGTTTGTCGAATGTCAAACTAAAACTAATTTATTTCGTTGTTTTTTTTTCTTTTTTTTTTTTATGCCTTTATACCCACATTTGTTTGGATTATTCTGGCGCGTGTGCTCGTAACATGAAATATATATCTTGTTTTTGTCTACATACTTTGCGGAGACGACGTTGCTGCTGAACACGCACCTATACTAGCATATGTATAATATATATATATATATATATATGCTTATGAGAACACGTGGATAGCAGTCAATATATTAACATATTTGTGCATAAACACGTATGCAAGAATAAGTGGAAAGTATATAGTTTAAGTGGTTTGTGTTTAATCATTATTAGCAATACAGACAATGAGCTAAGGAAATTTTAAATTTAATTCAGGGTAGCTTTGTATATTCAAGTTGTGTATTAACTTAATCTCTGAGGTGTTATTGACACGGCTTCTGATTAACTTTCAATTTGTATTTCACTCCTTTTCTTTCTCTTTCTCTTTCTTGATATGTAAGCACCATGTACGCTAAAAAATGTTGGAGTTTACTGTGAGGAGAACAGCAGCTATTTATCTTAAATGTCAAGAATATGAGTATATTTAATAAAGGATCAGTATATTTTAGACTGTTAAATAAATATATATTCAATTTCAAATACAAAATCGTTTAACTGTTTTAGATGTCGCCAATATACCAAAGTATGTCAATTGTTAATGACTTTTACACTTTAAGTGAATTCTGTGTGGTTTGCATAAATGCCTCTGTTCGTTTGTTAAAAGATTTATTTTGTGCAAATTGAAACCTTGCTCTTGAAAATGATGAAAATCACTGAAAGGATTAAGTATCGTACGTTAATTATATCTTACCGCGGTCTTTGGTCGTCGTGCACGATAAAACTGATAGACTATGTAAATCCATATAAATGTTTTACTTTTTTAACTGCTCGCTAAGCTTTTAAATCGAAGCCTTTTGCGTGAAAGCCGATAAAATTGACATTTTCGATCGAAAGGTTAGATATTTTACATGGAACTATTTCGTTTTGTGGATGATACGAGATTTTTAAAACTTTGTTGCTAACAAATAAATAATCTACACCAACATACAGTTACTCATATACCAAATTTCAAAATAAGGCGTTACATGGGAAGTAGCTGATACAGTGCAATAGCCAACACGTCGGCGTGCGAAATTTTACCGAAATATCCCAAAAACGATAGCTTGTAGGTTGAATGCAATAAACTAACCCAGAGAGACGGACCGACGAGGGCTGAGGCTATGACAATCTATTTTTGTGAATGCTGAACACATTCGCACAAACTTAATATACCTTTGTAGAACAAGTGGCTTAGGGTGTAAAAGTCAAGAAATTAGATCTACCAAGCGAATCTTACTCTGATTGCCTGCACACTTGAACCTTATTATAGATCCAATTGGCATTTTGCGTGGATTTCATAATGCCTTAGGAGTCGCTTTAACGATTTTAGACGATTTCTCAAGACGCTGTAAAATCATACTTAGAAATAACCAAAGTCAACTCTACCCTGGCCTTTTATGTGTAGGAATTTGCTTTATAGAATTTGTGGCGTTCAGATTTGGTACTTCACAATTCATATTTTCAATGGGTATAACGGCGTGCGGACATCAAATTTTCTTCCTCAAAATTATCCTCTTAGGGTCAAGTTACAATAAATGTTGGATGAACATGTTGGAATATGAAAATCAAACATTTCTATGCTAAAAGTATGATATTATTAACACCGCTTACTTACTCTGTGACCATATTTTCTCTGCTGACTTTTAGATAATAATATCGACGATTGCTGTTTACATTCCCAGAGAATGGTATCAATTCGATGTAATATATAAGCAAGCAATTCTTTCGTGAAATCGCAAAGCAATTGAGTTTACCTAACGATTTGGTTTTTCTTTTATGTTACAATAACTGCTACACTGTGCCCTATGTCTCTATGCTGAAGTGGGGATTAATCGTGTTAGTTACGAAAATCTGAAGTACTGCAGTAGATGAAAAGTCGGGATAAATCCAGCAAAATATTGATATGGAGTATTCTCTGAAACAACCCAAAGCAAGTATTCAAAATCGGTAGTGCAAAGCTTAAACAACCGGACGAACGTTACAGTACAACACAGAAAATTTTTGAAAAGATTTTTAAAAAAAATATTTAAAAAAGACCCTGCCACAGATGACGGAATGTTTCGAAGCTTAGATAGAGAGGTATACCGTGTTAGACGCTTCACTTGATTTTTTGAATTGGACACACTCGGAAGAGCATACTAAGATATGTGAAGGGTAGTGTACATTTTACTTTGAGCTATGATACGAAAGGAAAGACAGAAAGAAGGTTTAGTTATCCATTCAGTCTGATACAAGGAGCAGATGAAACGTTGCGAAAAACCTCACATTAGAAATGAAAGACAGGCGAAAGGTATATTTGATATTGCATGAAAAGTTATATTTTACAAGCTCCACTTTGCTTTAATGTGAACACAATGTCTTGTTGAGATTTCCTCAGGTAGCTTGCTAGACCTTCTTTCGCCAGGGATTCTGATTTGCAAAAGGGAAGGCTGATGGTGAAAATCAATTTTAACACATTCACAACAACAACATGCGCCACCTTTCTTACACTAGATACCAATTGAAAATACATGCGTACACATGTAAATTTTCTTGATCAAGAAAAAAATTTAAGCGAGATAATATATGCATACTACGAGCGCATGTATATATATAGACACATACATATTACATATATGACCTTAATGGGTGTTGCAAACATTTCTATAGTCTATTATAAATATATATATATATATATAATGCACACACGGACATATGTATGCATAAATGTATATTTGTATACAAACATTTATATGTATGTATGCATTTTTTTGTATTTACTGAACCTATCAGACATTCTACAAGGTATATATAAATATCTGTACGCATATAAAGTACACTTATGTATTTAGGTGCACATCTACATCCATATGCACGTACGTACACCTCGTAAGGTGTAAGCAAGCGACAACGGCTTATAATGAACCGAAATCTTCGTATCACCGTCTAAGGCTAAGCTTTTTGTTTTCATCAATCCAAGAGGAGAGAAGGACTGGCTGTTTTGTCGTTAGATTAATGATTTTCTTTTTCTTCTTAACGCATATTGTTAAGCTTCTACATTAATTCTTGGCGAACCAAGGTCACGTCTGCTCTTCAGTGTAGATTATTTGTGCGTTAAAAGCAAACAAAAAGAATATTACACAAAACGAATTTCGGATACTTAGCATAATAGATAGCTCTTTGCTAATAGTGCAGGTGTTTGCGGGGCAAAGCAGTGCATACTTTATCTGAATTTTAAAAAACTGCAATAAATATCCGAAGGAAAATTTAAGTCAATATATTTTATTATTGGTGATCGTATCTGCTGGGCTATAAATTAAGTTTCAGTTTTATGCTAAGATTTAAGAATTTTAATATAGAATAAAGAAGCGAAGATATCGAAGATATGTAAAATAAAATTGACTTTGAATTTCAATGTCTGGCGTAATTAATATATGTCCCGACCAGTAATTTTAAGAGCTAAAATCAATATAACAAAATGACTACAGTGATGACGGTAAGTGTAAGCGAAAAGAAAAAGTCCTCGGGTTATCCACCACACCACACATAGAAGGTATAGAAATTGAAACATTGCATATTTTTAGGTAGGCTTTCCATATTTGGCCTTTTAAACCTTGGGATGACAATTGCCGATATCGTACGAAATTTTAATTGCATGCCTTCTAGAGGCTGTAGTTAGATCCAGGTTAGTTAAGATAAGTTTGTTAGTTTAGTTATGTCTTAGGATTTAAAAATAATGGTGAGGGAATGGGCGAACAGATTCGGCTGAATCTTACGCTGCTCAAGAACATATATGTATCTAAGGGGATATGTATACATATCTATACATACTAACGCATCCTCCTCTTTCTCCCCCTACACTCTTTCACACAAACATACACACGTACTTTGCACACACACATATATATATATATGACACCCACACACATATGTATATATGGACCCATATATTATAAGTTGAACCCACACACACACACACACACACACACACATGTATCCATATGTTATAAGTTAGATCATAAACATAATATGCTTTCATTTCGTAGGATGGCTACAAATATATTCATCTTGAAAGCAATTTTTCTTGCCTTTTACTTTTACATATGTTCAAAATCTCTGCCTACAGCATAACATATACATGTGTAAATTTAACGGCGGTGGTGTTTGGGCATGTTTTTATGTTTGTAAAATTTTGTTTGTTTGTAACGCTTTTTGCACTATATATATTATATATATAAGGGCAATATAATAATGGTTTATGTAAACGTAAAAGATTTCGTAACAGCAGCAAATATTCGTTCAGATGTAATAAATGAATGCATAAAAGCCAAGTAATGTCAAGTTTAAATATTTCGGTAAACATCTACTTAACAATAGGTTTAAAGAAGAATTTTATACATATATATGATATCTGCATGGAAGTGCTATGTAAATGAAAAGCGAGACATAATCTGCGGGTGTTCGATCAATGATAAAAATTCTGTTCTATTATTACTTATGTGGGACATAGAATGAACATAGAATTGATTAAATGAATCGTAATAATAAATAAAAACAAAAAAAAAAAAAAAAGAAGAAAAACATATTAAAGCCAAAGTGACATAGAATAATTACGTGCGCCTAGGGATAGATATCTCAAACTAATCTGTTGGCTGTTTTTATGCTATGACGACTCTCTCTCTCTGTATTTATTCTATAAAAATGCAATTTTAATTATATCGTACGCGAAATTGCTGCTTTGTTTGTCGCATGTGTGAAACTAAACAAAAATAAAATCACAAATAACTTTTTATTCAAATAAAAAAAAAAAGAAAAAAGCGATATAAACTTGATCTAAAATCTAAATAAATTCAAAATGTTAGTGCAAATAAGAGATGAGAATACGTAGGTAAATCCATATGCCTAAGCGGATAATTCCAATTTATGTTTTATATATGCGTGTGTGTATGTGTGTGTGTGTATGTGTTTGTGTCTCTGTGTTCTCTATGTATGTGCATACGAGCGTAAGCTATTAAAATATCAATAAATTATTCTCAAGTGCTTGCGCATTAGCTTTTAACTTAATTATTGGCGCCGTATGAAATACGAAAAATAATCGAAAATGTTTCTCATCATGCCTGGATAATTGATTAGAAGCAAAACTCTTAATCCAAGACAACTAAATCTATATTCATAATTAATAAAAATATCAGAATATTACCATCATCAACATGCATCTAAATGCTCGCATTCAGTTTCAAGGAATTTTACATAACCTCTTTCGTACGTCACTACTGATTGTATTCAGTTTGATGAGCTTCGACAGTGGTAAGTGAATGCAATTAAAAATCACAACAATTTATCTTTTATTTTTGACTTTGATTGAAGCATCAATTAAGTTTTAATTCTCATGTTTTCGTTTTTACTCTTTCTTTTTGTTTCCTTTTTGCTTTAACAATAGAAGCAAATAAGAAAGTTTTATTCGGCGGGGACCGAATCTCGCATACCCATACCCACTATGCTTTCCGCATTCCACTGTCCAAGTTCTTTTATTTGATACCCATATCGCGGGTATTACTAGGCAAACAATAATGGCGGTGTCCACCGTATTCCATTTTTCGGCAGATGATATATCTTCATTTAAAGATTGCACAAAATAGTTTTAAACATTCTGTCTTGTTTGCCTTATGATAAATAAGCAAAAGATCTCAAATTCAATTACTCGTAACTTTGGGTGGGCATGGTCGATTTCTCCCATTGTTGGATGTAAAGAGCATAGTGTTTCGTAAAGTGAACGTGGAAAATTTCAGCTTTTTTACCTTATTAACAAGCAAAAGTCCAGCAACTTTTGGTAAAAAAACCGGATCTACGTTTAATTTACGCTCAATTTCGGGCTTCTGCTCTGACCATTTTGGCCCGTCTTCAACACCAATCGGCGTGCAAGAACTTCCAATGTTCTATCAAATTCAAAGTTGATATCTTCATTTTTGCGACCAGAAGAGCGCAAACAACACACACCACACAGGCGGACAGACATGGCCAAATCAACCTAGAATTTCACGCTGATCAAGAATATATATACTTTATAGCGTCTCTTAAGCTTCCTTTTGAGCGTTACATACGTTATGGGAATAAACAAAATGAGCATGCCTCCATCTTATAGTGATGGGTATGGAAAGAAGTTATATTAAATCTGTCATAATGATTATAAGATCGATCAACTAGAAGAAGTTAAAAGTTGATAAAGCTGAGCTTTATTTGACACACGTTGGCTCGACGTTCCATTCAATGCAAATGAAAAGTAATAACTACTGGGGTGAAGGTATGTGCAACAGGCTATATAATATGTCTCTCAAAATTGTCCCCTGGGATTCAAGTGAAACCAAATACGTGACAATGCGTACTTTTCTCCGCTCTGTCTCTCGACGTCGAAATGAGATTTGTTGGTAGTTATGAAAAGACATACCACTGGAGCAGATGATTCTTGGATATATCTGCAAGTAATATGCGGAGTTGGAAAGTCGGGATAAGTTCAGTAAAATACAGATTTAGAGTATTTACTAAAAAAAACGAAAGCAAATACGGCGCACTGTTTGACTCCAACACGGGATATTTTCTCAAAAAGAACTTGCGATAGATGGCGGAGAGTGTGAAGCTGAGATAGAGTGGTATGCCATGATAGGCCTTTAAGTAAAATTGTAAAAGCTGAGAAAAACATGCTACGCTACGGTAGGTGAGGCCACTGCATGTCTCACTTTAAATTACGGTATTCTCTGAAAGAAAGTTGGGTTGCCCTCTTTTTCTCTTGCAAGTCCGCAAACCAACAACAGATGTGACTGCCCTGAGTGAAAAAAAGTCAAGTTGCAAACGATCTTACATTGAAAATGGCGGAAAGGGCAAAGATGTATGTGATGCTGCATGGATGATTGCACGTCGATATGAAAGTTCACTTTGCCTTTATGTGAAGAAAATGTGTATTCAGGAGGCCGTGAGGTACTTTATAAAGCATTCCTTTCGCTAAAAATTCTGATTTGGAGATGGAAGCACTGTATGTTGAAAACCTATCGATCTTAAGCCATTCCCAACAAGAGCATTCACACTATCTTTCGGGATAGGTCTTCGGCGAAATGTGTCGAAAGAGTCTTGTGAACTCGTCTTTTTTCCAAAATTATCTAAATTAACTTTATTGGTCGACAATGTCGTTAGCTGTTTGTCTAAGGAATAGGATCAACCATTGATCTCAATAAATAATCCATGGTGACCTTGCGTGAATGTAGCTGAAGAAGAAGAAAATCATCGTTATTATAGTGCCTCGAGAAGTGTCATAAAGCGTGAAATAACATATTCTCTCTTCTATTTGAATATTATTTCATGGTTTTATGATTATTTAAATATATTCAAAAATGTGTTTATTTATATATTTGCTTGTATATGCAATATTTTTGGAAACTAACTTAAAAGAAAAGAAGGAAATCCATCATTTCATATATCTTTCTTGTTTATAAATTTTCTTATGAATAGATTTTAATGATTAAAATAACAAAAGAATGGAATAAATTTTGAATTCTCTTATGCGAAGCGTACATATGATGCCACACTGGCAATTTTCACTAGACGTCGACAAGGATTTGAAAACTGAAATCAAAGCGATATAGAAATGAAGATATTCCCCAACCTGCTGCCAAGAACTTGTTTGTTATTATACGTACACACAAGTGCCTTGAATTTCCAAATCAAGTCGTACACTCATTCCAGTGCAAATAGTTTGAATATCAATTTCATGAGACCGAGTATAATTGTTAATAGCACAAGGAATAGATGCATTCGCACGGAGATCTTTACATATATAATTGTTTAAAGCTTTCATTTGTGTGTGTATATATATATATATATATATATATGCATGAATACAAACCATGATTGTGGGTATAAATGCGTTTATGGCTTTTGAACTTTCACAAGTACTTTTTCCTGCCTCTTATGTGGAAAAACAATTTTGTTAAGTTGATTTTTCGCCTTAAGTGTTCCATTGATCCGAATGGTACAATATTTCTTCTTCGTTTCGCTCAAAGAAAGAGTGAATATAATAAAATCATATACTGTCATGTAAAAAATGAAAAAAATTTAATTAAAATCTTAAAAGTATTTAATTTTATTGCTTTTCTTTTCATTTCAATAACTGCAAGAAAGCATTTGCTCATAACATACAAAAATGTATTTGCGTCACAACCACTGCCAAGAACAACCCATCAGATGTTGGTTTTTTACTACATCATTTTAAATTGTAAAAGGAAAAAGAAATCCCATTTTGTAAAAGCAAGCATAACAAAAAAAATTATGTTCGGTGTGAAACGAATCTTTCATTGAGCCCTATTTGCATTCGCATCTTATAAAAAAAAATAAAAATTATATATTAGTAAATATGTAGTGGTAACTTACTTGGTAAGCGTAAGCATTTTCTCGTATAAATTTGCATATTAGCACGGCCCCATATGGGAGGATATGGGAGGCGATAAATATAGCTATGGCAGCGAAAGTATACACTCAAAGGATAACCCACCCTAGGCTTACTTAAGACGGCATATTTGAAGAGTAGCACATGCCTAATGAAATCTAGGTGCACTAGGTGCTAGCTGAAGTTGCAGCAGGTCTTGTTGAAACCATTTGTTGAAGGCTTTAAATATTTGTCACTTCAAAGCCATTTCTCCTCTAGTACCACATTGTTGCTTGAGAATATGTTTAAGAGTAAGTTAAGTACGTTTAGAAATGTCTTCACGTGAATTCGGCTAAGCGGCTGGCAACGCCGCCGGCTTCGGAAAGGATATTGCGATTATTCAATTTCTTTCGACCTTAGCTTTTGACCTGAGCGCATGTGTGCTGACCTCCGCCCGCGGATAGTAACAATTAATACTCTCAAAAGGATTAGTAACGCGTGTTGTCAGTTATGATAATTGACTAAAAGATATCGTGTAAATCTACAACAAACTGAAATGAATATTAGAAGCGATGGTGTAGAGAAATGACAGCGTTGTGGAGACAAATTCTAATCGAACTTGACCTAAAAGAATAAATTGGCATTTCAGCAAAGAAACTAACTCACTCTGGCTAACTCACAGGGTGTTATCCAAGTCATGCTAGATGCACGGTTAGGTGAAATTTAATATCAAAACCGAAATTGCAGGGTTTTATAATCGTAACTTAATTGCAAAGGAACTCAAGGTCGACAAAGCAAACTTTTTATTTTTCATGTTCAACTCTAAAAACTGCTATCTATTGGCGGCGACTGCTAGACAAATCCATTTTATACACGTCTGCGCCAAAATTTCCCGTACGCCTGCAATATTTGCTTCAGGCTTTCTGCTTAGACATCCCACTAGTACGAGAACGCCCCTGTAAATTGTTTTCAATTTGGGTCTAAGCATTTTTGGCGGCGGTCAGCCATGCAACATTTATTTACTTCAGTTAAACCTCTAGAGAGTCGCACTGAAGTAACCATTATAACCATTGTATGTTTCGGTTGCAACGATTTCTTTTTATTTGTTGTACATCGCAAAAAAAAAAACACATTAATGCGAATTTTAATAAAAACTGCAAAAATTTTCACATATATTAAAGCTTGTAAACGTTCATCCGATAAATTGTAAAAGGTTAAAATGTTAAAAACAATGTTACGACATAACTTCAAAAAAAAAAAGGGAAATGGAAATTAATTGATTTTAACTGTCAGTAAAAAACACACAAGCCCAACAGTCACTTGCCGGCCAGTTTTAAAGGGTAAGCAAATTCTTTTTGTTTTTTGCTTATTTGATTGATTGATTTTCATTGAGATTTACTTTGACATTTCAACATAACCTAACAAAGAAACAAAAAAAAAAAAAAAAAAAAAAAATTAGAAAGGAAACCCTCAACCTATTCTTTACAAACCTTATTATCTCTCATCTTATCATTAAATTATGTTATTATTTTTAGAGATTGATAGCTAAATCAATTCCGAGTAGATTGTATACAAGATCGTCGTTGCATATTTCTACGCTTTGAAAACTTGTGATAACTTGTGATAAACATAATATACCTGCTGAAGGTAGTTTAGTACGGAAAACAAATTGAAAATAGGACGCAATGTATGTAAAAATGAACAAACAAAAGTCTTGAGTACCACTCAAGGCGTTTTTATTTCGGCAATTTTATCGAAGATGTTTGCAATCTTCAGACAAATATTTACAATAATTTTCATATTGATTTCCAATGTAACTAACAGTTTAATAGTAATAATGCATACAAAAAAGGTTCCCTCTTTTGAATCTTTTCACTTGCGGAAATGGTCTCTA